AATAATGTAAAATGTAAAATCGACGCGTTTTGATTGGTTTACAAATTTCAGTTACATGTCATCAACTACGTCCGAGTGTGCCGACCCTGATTTTGACCCGAGCAAGAAATACATTGGCGCCAAAAATTCTGGAGCCCACCACGTTTCGCATATTGTGTATATTAACGACACAATTTCAGAAATGAACAGTCAGGGGAGAAAATCCAACCAAGAGCTAGACCACACGTGTCACTACTCATGAGGATATCAGACTATACGTTAAAATTCTTCAGTATATGTCTATATTTCTGAGATGAGGTATTATATACACTATTTACCTCATTCGGACTATTGTCCTCATCTTTGTTGCCATATTTATTACAAGGTTTCGGCCTTTCAGTATCTGTCTATATTTTTAAGATGGGGTATTATATACACTATTTACATTATTTGGATTATTGACCTTATCTTTGTTTCTGTAGTGAACGAGATAATCAAGTACCCCGGAAAAAAGTTCGTGTTTTGTGTGCGATCTGCCGGGGAGGGATTGCCAAAAAGTAGTCAGCAAAACTCTTATAGCGACTTACCTCGTCAACCCAAGCGACAGCGCGTCGCGTGTATTCTGTGACGAAAAAAGAAACAAGTCCGTCGCAGGAGTCGCTATAAGAGTATATTAATATGCAAATTACGGAGCATCCTATCCCGGCTGTCGACTAATGGAAAAAATAGGTTCTGCCGATAAAAGCAGTTGGTGTTGTCGACTCGGGGAAAAAAGAAAATTCAGGCAGTTTTGGCTACGGAGTTCGGGAGCTATTTTCCTGACGCGTTACAAGTGATTTTCTTTCTTTGTGTTGTGAAAGCCACAAATTTGCTTTGAGAACGCTTACTCTTCAGTTTCCATATTTATCACAAAGTTTCCGACCTTCAGTATCTGTCTATATTTCTGAGATGAGGTATTATATACACTATTTACATTATTCGAACTATTGTTGCCATCTTTGTCACCATGTTTATGACATTTCGGACCTTCATTATCTGTCTATATTTCTGAGATGAGGTATTATGTACACTATTAACATTATTCGGACTATTGTTCTCATCTTTGTCGCCATATTTATTGCAACGTTTTGGTCTTTCAGTATCTGTCTATATTTCTGAGATGAGGTATTATGTACACTATTTACGTTATTCAGACTATTGCCCTCATCCTTGTCGCAGTGATAACATTAACATTAAAACAATCTGCATCTTTTGTTTTCAACGCAAACAAACTAAGACCGACAAACATGAAAGAAAGAGAATCAAGTCAAAATCACAAAGTAAGCCCATTTCATTCACACACTCACACAACTTTTCGAAAACCTTAAACTCTTTATTCTTAACACAAAATTATAGTGAGTTGTATTTTCTCATTTTAAAACATATTACTCAAAATCTTTCAAACCAGAACATTACCCAAACACAAAACTTGAAAAACAAGGACATTAGAACTTTTTAAACAACTTCTTCAATATTTCTTTGTACCTTTGTTATATAAAATTACTCTTGTAAATATCATTGTTATCTTGTTATTATTTATGTTGTGTTACATTTGCGATAATATAAACGCGTAAGGATTTTTATATCCCTATGGGTCAGTAAATCCTACTTGTGTATGTTTCTTTCACCCTCTGTAACCACTTGCATCCTAGTCGCGTTTATTACTGCTTGGCTATAAAATAGTCTTTTAAAAAAATGATCATTTGAAGGGACCTTTCATTTTGTTCACCAAAAAAGAGTCATTTCTTTCCGAACAATTTTATATAATCGAGAGGAAATTTCGCTGCTAAATATACGGCTGTATTTTTGAGCGCGGGTGGATTTGTTTGTGTATAAAAGTTAAACAAAATATTTCTCGTTCGATCGGTTTCAATTAGTCTGCGCTATTTGGTCCAGACAATTCGGCTCCAATATTCAATCAAAGAACTGGTGATCGATGGTACGTGTTCGAGAAAATTCGGCCGCACACCCCGAATCTACCCCGGCAGCTTACTGACCTCCAGCCAGTGACCGGCAATCTGCCAAAGAAAGAAAGAAAGAAAGAAAGAAAGAAAGAAAGAAAGAAAGAAAGAATACTGAAAAAAAGAAAGAAAGACATAAGGAAAGAAAAAAACAAAAAAAGAAAACGAGCGAGAGAAAGTAATAGAAAATATTATGAAAGAAAGAAAGAAAGAAAGAAAGAAAGAAGACTGTGAAGGAAAGAGAGATAGAGAGGCAGAGAGAAGGACAAATATACGAGAGAAAGGAACAAAGAAGAGAAAGTGATAAAAAGGAAGAAGGAACGAATGAGATGAAGCAGAGGAAAGGTAATCTAAAGTCAGTTGGAGAGAAAGAAAAAGAGAAAGAAATAGAGAAAGAAAAAAGAGAAAGAAATAGAGAAAGAAAAAGAGAAACAAATAGAGAAAGAAAAAAGAGAAAGAAATAGAGAAAGAAAAAAGAGAAAGACATATGAGACAAAGGAAGAAGAAAAAAGAAAATTAGAAAGAGAAGGGCATAAGTAATAGAGAAAAAGAGGGAAAGAAAGAGATAGAAGAGAAGCAGAGAAAGACACTGAGAGAAAGAAATGTAAAAAAAAAAGAGGGAAAAATTTAGAATGCAGGGTTTAAATGAAGAGAGAAAGAAAAATAGAAATAAATAGAGAAAGGAAAAAGAGAAAGACAAAGAAAGCTATATGAGAAAAGGAACAAGCAAAGATTTAAATAGAAAGGGAAGGAGATAATAATAATAATAATAATAATATTAAGAAGACGGAGAGAACAAAAGAGAAAGAAAGATATAGAAGAGAAACAGAAATGCTCCTCTAAAAAGAGAAATGGCGTCCGAAAGAAAGAGATATAAAGAAAGAGAGAAATACACGGAGAGAGATACATGAAAGAGAGAGAAAGAGAGAGAGAGAGAGAGAGAGAGAGAAAGAGAGGGGGAAACATTAGAATAGAGGGTTTAAATGACGAGAAATATACTGTGAGAAAGAATGAAAGAAACAAGAAAGAAAGAGAGAGAGAAAGAAAGAAAGAAAGAAAGAAAGAACAGAGAAAGAAAGAAAGGAAGAAAGAAAGAAAGAAAGAAGAAATAAAGAGAGAGAGAAAGAAAGAAAGAAAGAACAGAGAAAGAAAGAAAGAAAGAAAGAAAGAAGAAAGAAAGAGAGAGAGAAAGAAAGAAAGAAAGAAAGAAAGAAAGAAGAAAGAAGGAGAGAGAGAAAGAAAGAAAGAAAGAAAGAAAGAAAGAAAAAGAAAGAGAGAGAGAAAGAAAGAAAGAAAGAAAGAAAGAAAGAAAGAAAGAAAGGGAAAAAAACAAAGAAACCAAACAAACCAAGCGAGTGAAAGTAGTAGAAAATATTAAGAAAGAAAGAAAAAAGAAAGAAAGAAGAATGAAAAAAACCGAGAACGAAAGAAAGAAAGAAAGAAAGAAAGAAGGAAAAAAGACAAACAAACAAAACAAACCAAGCGCGGAAAATATTAGAAGATATTATGAAAGCAGGAAAAAACAAAAGGAAAAAAAGAAATAAAAAAGAAAAAAGAATGAAAAAAGAAATAAAAAAGAAAGAATGAAAAACATAGAATGAAAGAAAGAAAAACAAACAAAAAAAACAAAAAAAAGAAAGAAAAGGAAAAAAAGAAAGAAATAGAAAGAGTCAAAAAACAGAAAAGTGGGAAAAAAAAAAGAAAGAAAAAACAAACAAACAAAGATACTTGTAGAGAAAACAAAAGAAACATAATGGACGAAATGAGGAAAGAATGAAAAAAGTCAATGTTGGGGAGGAATGTAGAAACGAAAGAAAAACAAACTTTTCTGTAGGAAAACGAAAGAAAAAAAAAAGACACAAATAGACAAATGTCATCGTTTGAAGATACGACCGACCGAAGGAGAAAACAAAAGAAAGAAAACAAAATATGTTGTAAGAAAACAAATTTAAAATCATGAGAAAAAGAAAAAAGAATGAAACAAAGAAACAAAAAACCTGTTCCTCTAAAACGAAAAAAAAATAATTTAAGATAAAAAAGAAATGAAAAAGACGTAGACGAATAAACGAAAGAACGAACAAGCAGACACTGTTGCACTAAAACAGAAGGAAATTATGCAAATTAGAAAAGAGGAAAGAGAGAAAAAATTCATGGAAGGATGAACGAACGAACGAGCAAACTAAAGAATAAAAAATAGAAAGAAAGAAAGAAAGAAAGAAAGAAAGAAAGAAAGAAAGAAAGAAAGGAAGGAATGAAGGAAGAAAAAGAAAAGATAATTCTACTTCAGCTGATATAAATATTTAATGATACGGTATAGGCAACTAATTGAGAACGGATATGGCAAAAGAAAGAAAGAAAAGGAAGAAAGAAAGAAGGAAAGGAAGGAAGGA